TGCCCAAATGCATGCCCTCATCCCATCAGTAGGTGAGCTTGCAGCTCCTCAGTACTCCCACGATGACAGAAACCTGACTGACAGGCTCGGTCTCCAGGAAAAGGAGGGATGGCTTTATTCCACAGAGGGAAAAATCCTCCTGCCCAAGGGCCTGATCCGACCAGTGTTGCAGAAACTGCATCAAACCACACACGCAGGCAGAGAGGCTCTTACCCAGCTTATGAATAAATATTTTCTAACCTCTGGACTTAAACCCCTAGCATCACAGGTACAGGCTGAATGTTTGATCTGCCAGAAGAACAACTCTCGACCAGGAGTAGCAGTGTTGCCAGCCACTCTGGAACCTACCCCAGGCCCAGGATTGGTGTGGCAAATAGACTTTACTGAGTTTCCCAGGACCCAAGGGTACAGGTACCTCCTCGTCTTGGTGGATCGATTCAGTGGATGGCCTGAAGCCTTCCCATGTCGTAACAACACTGCCAAAACGGTGGCTCTTAAGTTTGTCAAGATCATTCCTCGCTTCGGACTCCTCAGTGGACGGAATCCGATAATGGAACACACTTCACATCACAAGTTGTTCAAAAGATATCAAGTGCTTTGCAAATCTCCTGGAAGCTCCACACATCATGGCAACCACAAGCCACTGGAGTAGTGGAATGCACAAATCAGACACTCAAGCAACACCTCTCAAAGGTCTGTCAGGAGGCGTCTCTTAGGTGGCCTGATGCTTTGCCCCTTGTTTTACTTCGCATTCGTGCTCTCCCCAAGGGCAGGTTAGGGCTTAGTCCCTTTGAGATTATGTTTGGAAGGGCATGGCCTCTGAATGGTACACCGGTTCTGGCAGGAGAGTGGGAAATGGGGTGTGTTTTTTTGTCTTAGTACATGTGCTCTTTGTCTGCTGTTCTTTCTTCTCTTCACAGATACACCAAAGATTCACAGCCTCTTCTGCTGGATGCCCCGGTCCACTCCCTTCAACCTGGTGACTCCATTCTCGTTCGGACCTGGAAGGACGAGCCTCTCCAAGAGAAGTGGAAGGGACCCCACACCGTCCTGCTGGTTTCCCACATGGCAGCAAAGGTCGAAGGACACAAGAACTGGATTCATCACTCTCGACTGAAAGCAGTACCCACTCCTAAACAGTGGACTGTCCAGCCTGCAGAGAAGACTGCCAGTGACGATTTGGGACTTAAGACAGTAAGGGTCACTGGGAATGCCTGGTGATCTCTCTGAACAGCCACAGCACACTCCCCACGAAAACCCTGAGCATTGGTTCTATCTATTCACAGAAGGCCGACCTAGCCTATGGTCCTGGTCCTTATTTTTTTATTTGTTTGGTATCAATAATTCTTATCTTCTGGGCATTTGGGTTGTTGTAATTACAATATGGATTCAGGTTTAGGGTCTCTCACAACATTCCTTTTTGTCACAGGAGCAATCCTTCTGTTACCTACTGTTTCACCCACATCGCATGCAGGATGGGGAGCCATCCCTGCAGATATGGCTACCAATACCTATGAGGCCCTGAAAATTGCCTTTGCCCGTGAGTTCAATCTCTTCCACTGTTGGATATGTGCCCACACTCCCCACCATTCGGCTGGATTGCCCTGGAGAGTAGTTCCCCAAAATTGGTCAGACTATTGTCAAAGGTGGATGGTTACCAGCAGTAACACCTCTGACAATTTAAGTTTGCGATCTAACTGTACTGCGGAAGCTCTTTATGGCCTACACAATGGCTCTTGGAATTCCCACTATAGTAGTACTTTTAAGCCCCAGTCTATTCGTTTACGCTCTCCACCCACTGGTCTCATATGTTATCAGCAAGCCAGTACAAGTAATCATGCCTGGTTTGCAGGCATTAGTACATGTAGATTTTATATTGGTCCTGGTATAAGTCTCACTGTTCCTTTACTAAATGCCACCGGTTGGCAAACTGGCGCTGCATTCTTTGCCCTTTTCCCACAAGCCACCCTACGGGACCTACAAGATAACAATGGAAAGGCTAGTTATGGTGAAGCATTCTGGATTTGTGGTAATAGTGCCTATAAATGGCTTCCTCAGGGTTGGCATGGTAGCTGTTACAAAGGCTATCTTGCTCCTCCCCTCCGTGTTCTCACCCAGGCTCCCTCAGGTCGCCCTAGGTACTATCGGTCCTTGAGAGCTACCATTGAACCCATCGGAGAAGGAGACAGGTTTGGGATGATATTCCTCCCTACTTACGGAGTGGGACGGCTAACCCAACTCTACAGAAGACTTTCTAAATTTCTCACTCAGTTTGCCAATGATACCCTGGCCATAGAGAAAAGCATAAGTTCTGAGCTGTACCAGCTTCGACTGCTGGCTTTGCAAAACCGCCAGGCCCTAGATTATGTGTTAGCCTCAGGGGGCGGGGTTTGTGCCCTGATTGGAGAAGAATGTTGTACCTATGTCCCAGAGTTTTCACAGGATATTAACAAGCATATCTTGTCAGCCGAACAGGCCTTGAACCAGTGGAAGGCCCAGGAAGGGGAACCCACTATTTTTGATTCCCTTTGGGATTGGTTACCTAGTCTAGGAGGACTAGGGGGAGGCACTGTTCGCATCTTGCTCACAGGTGTTGTGATACGTTTTGTCCTTTTCCTTTTACTCGCTTGCTGTAAAGTGCTCATACGTAAGATTTGTACCTCCCATTCCCCAGAAGTTCCTTTATACTCTCTCATTGATGATCCCAATTGCATGGAGCTTAATCGCAATTTGTTTTTATAGTATGAGAAAACTCTGCCAAAGGTTTGTTGAGTGTTCTCAAAGGAGGGATTGTTGGTGTCACTAGGCATAGCTACCAGGTAACTCGGGGGGGGGGTGAAAGGCCATAAGTGCCGATGAAACCTCCCTGCTCTGGGTCTAAGTGAACCACAGAACTCCATCTTGTGAACTTTCACCTACTTCCATGCTAACAGCCTATGCTGAAGCAGAATATGTAATGGTCAGCTTTTCTAGCAGACAGCTGCAGTTTTGCTTGCACTAACAGAAACAGTAGTGATAATGCGGGGGAAAAGGGGGAGGGAAAGGCCTAGTGGGTAGAGCTTGCAAGGTCAAAGATAAGCATGTGAACGGGAAACTTTTCTAACAAGCCACAATGTGTACCTGCTGTAACTGCTCGGGACGGGAGGGGTAGAGGGAAGAGTAACAGAACAAAGCTTACACACAAACAGCTTGGAATATAAAAGGGAACACTTGCTTGTATGTGCTGTGCTTGATCTGAGACGTGCCTGTCTCCCTGCACCACTTTGAGATCTCAAATAAACTTTGTTTGCTTCTCCACCCCGGTGTGTCTATTGGTGCGGCGCACACCGGGCAACGAACGCTGTTGCCCCCTCGGGGCCCATCTGGGCCGGCAACACTCTTGTTAAGGAAACCTGGGTGTATATATATACTTCTTGGATTAAGACTGTGACCAGAATGGATGTTTAAAAAACAAAAACCATCCAAAACACTAGCCCTGCTCCAGAAAACCCTATTGAGCCAGACACCTACCCTTGGGTTAATGACTCTAAATGCTGTTTCGCCCAGTTTATATTTTTCCACAGCAAAACTATTTCAGCATCCAAATACAACATTGCTGCCTCCAGGTTTAAAATAAATGTAGAGCCAGCAGGACATTCTGAAACTCTCAAGATTTTCATTATAGAACTCCAGAAATAAAATTGTGTGTGTGTGTGTGTGTGTGTGCGCGCGCGCGAGAACACAACAGATCAGACCTTAACAACAAATTACAGAAGCACCGCCACAAATTTCATACAGGTTAGTCAATCACAACTCGCCCCTCCATTCTATCTTCCAGCTGAACCCTTTAAATGTTAAGATGAAAGTTTGGGGGAAAAAAATAAAAATAAAGCCCATATAGACCATCTTGTCAAATTATAGAGAAATTTAGAAACATCCTTAGGCTCAAAAAGCAAGACTACTACTGAAGACATTATTTTCAACTAGAAAGGCCAGGATTCCTCAATATGCAAAGTATATTACATAAAATCCTCTAATCCTTTTGGGTAAATACATTATTCATGTGTTATTAGAATAGATTTTTTTCAACATCAGTTTGATTTCGGTCAAGTCCCGCCCACCAGAATCCGAATTTCTTACTCTCTACAGCTGATTTGTCCACAGCTTCTTGCCTGCTCTGTCAATTTTTCTTGAGCCATTTCTCCATCTCTGTGGTCAGCCACCTCTCCGGGTTATTTTCCCCAAGCACTGCCATAACCTTTTGTCCCCCTCTTCCTAACATTTCCCCAGCCTGGTGCATGCAGTGAGTGACATGTCCAATGAGGAGAAAATGCTTAAATATCTCATTTCAATACTCATTGTGCCGGAACCAGCTATTTCAACATTCTAAAGCTGAGCAGTTGAAACTGGATTTAGAATACACCCCATTGTGTAAACACAGTGAGCATGTGGCACATGAGTTACAATGTCTACATTTCCTCAAGCCACTGATGAAAAGCACAGAAGTGCCAGATATTCCTTCCAAACCCCACATAAAAACAGAAAGAGGGAGTGTCCTCAAAAAACCCCAAAACAACAAACACACCTACAGTCAACATCTCTCTCCTTGACGTCAATCCCACATCCCTTCATAGTGTTCGCCCTTGGTCACAGCCTGAAACTCTGAAAAGTTGTACAAGGTTCTTCCCCAGCAATACAAGCTACTTGACCTGACTCAAAATTCAAACAGAAGGACTCCTTAGCTATCCAGGACAAAAAGGGAAGTGCCTAAGACTAAACGAACAGATCTACCTGTAAGAGACATAGCTCGTAACATGGTTTTGAGAAGTTTATGGGGTGGGGCTTACTCTTCAGTAAACTCCAAAAGTAAACCCCCCATATAAACCAATGTGGTTGGAAAAAAAAAAATCACAAAAGACAGTATGTGTTTTACAATATGCATAAGACCAAAATGCAAAAAGGTAAATAAAATTATACAGAAAAAGCAGCTTACTTCACTACTAGAGAATTGGTTGGTAATGCTGGCAGAAAGCTTGTTACAAAGGGCAGCAAGAAAAAGCTTCACAAAATTTTAATAGGATGCCCAGAGTTTGAACTCACTGGGCATAGGTGCCATGCTCAAGAGCATGAGAGAAGGAATGTCATGGTCTATTTTTGTTATAAAACCTCTTTTAATCTAATTAGCATTATATGCATCACAGTAGTGCTTAAACCAGGGCCCCCTTGGTGTCTTGTACCAAATATATAGTAAGAAAGTCCCTGCCCCAGAGACCTTGCAGTTTTAATAAGACAAGACAAAGGATGGAGGGGAAAAAACATGCACATAGGTGAAGTGATCTGGCTAAAGGCTCATAGTAGGTCAGTGGCAAAACTGGGAATAGAATCTAGATCTCCTGAGTCCAGCCCAGCACCGTAATTCTCGAGCTGCCTCAGCTCCTCTCTCTCTCTTGTTGGGAAATTCTACCCAAGTGTGGTGTCAATTCTGTCACACTTTACCAATGGCTAATCAAATTAGGCTATAATGCTGAACCCATTTATCAGTCAGTGTAGATGAGGACAAGCCACATGCAGCATCCTATCAGCTAACTATGATTAAACCCAGGGTTGAGCAAGATATAATCATTCTCATCATTAAGTCAGATTTGTCCTGGTCCACATTGAATTAGGGTGACCAGATGTCCCAATATTATTGGGACAGCCTTAAATATTTAGGACTTGGTCTTCTATAGGCACTTATTACCCCCCCCCCCCACTACCCCCTTGTTCTGATTGTTCTGATTTTTCACCCTTGCTATCTGGTCACCCTATGCTGAATGCAAGTCATGTTCATCATTATTAAAGAGCTCTTATCTGACATATCTCCCTCCCTCCCAAAAAAAAAAGGGGGAGGTATGTGTGTTTATTTTATATAATTTCAAATACTTGTCTAGACTTCCTCCATTTTAAACTGTAGATATGACCTAATTCAATAAAATATTTTAAACCCATTGCAGTAAGTTTAAACATTGTCTCAATCTGTGATTTGACATAAGCCCTATCTCATGTGCAGAAAGTACCATTCATGGTTTCTCTTTGGGAACCTTTCTGGTTTCTATCCAAGAGACATGTTACTGAGAACCATGTATAATCATCCTT